GGCATTCCTAGACTCTAAAACACATGTCATTTCGGGGTAACTAAAGGCTTACTTTGCGGAGTTGGATATTTTAATAGCTTCAGCCAATCAAAATAGTACACGTGGCAACGCTATTACGTTGTTGATCACTTTATTATATATTGGCTTTAGCCGCGAGCTCTTTCACCGATCACAAATCTTTTGGCTCTGATACCACTGTTGAAGTGATTCATGTTTATATTTTAAAGATATTGGTACTATGTCAGTAGTATATCTCTTACTATATGTAGATGATATGCTAATTACTAGTGCGTAATTAGCATATCATCTACATATAGTAAGAGATATACTGCTGACATAGTACCAATATCTTTAAAATATAAACATGAATCATAATGACTCCTAGTAAAGCATAGTGATCAAACCTCTTATACTATTGGCGTGGAGACTGCTTGAGGCCATATAATGATTTTTTTAGGAGACAAACTTATTTCTCCTTTCCTTTAACCTCAAACCCCGGTGGTTGAGACATATAAATTGTTTCCTTCAAATCTCCATAGAGGAAAGCAGTCTTTACGTCCATTTGTTCTAGTTTCCAATCTTCATGAGCCACTAATGCTAAAATGGTTCTTATGGTCTTGTATTTTACTACAGGAGAGAAAATTTTCGTATAGTCAACACCTTCTACTTGTGTAAAGCCCTTGGCAACTAATCTTGCCTTAAACCTCCTTGGATCTTTTGATGTCATGCCTTCCTTGATTTTGAATACCCATTTGCAGTCCACTGGTTTTAATACTTGGGTTTATTTCCTAGAACCCAAGTATTATTCTTTCTCAAAGATTGCATTTCTTCCTCCATAGCTGCTCTCCATTGGTTTGCATGTGGACCATTTACAACTTCAGTGAAACTCTTTGGTTCTTCAGTTTCCACTTCTTCATCAGTGTTAAGGGCGAAAGCTACTAAGTTCCCTCCATCATATCTTTGAGTTGGTCTAATATTTCTCCTCGGTATATCCCTTGTCAATTGATATTAATCTAAATTCTGGATTGATATGGGTTGTTCCTCTTGTGCCGGTTCACTAACTTCTTCATTTTGATCATTCAGTTGAGTGTTTTATTCATGAGTTTCTTCACTGCCCATCGATGGAATGTCAGTTTGCTCTTTAGAATGTTCCACCTCAAATTGAAATTCTTGGGATGATAATGCACCTGTTCCTGCATCAAGAACACTGGGAGCAGTTTCTTTTTCTAATTTTAAATAAGGCATATCAAACTCATTGAACACAACATCTCTACTGATAATTACTTTGTATTGTGAACCACTTCTTAAGCATAGTCTATATCCTTTAACTCCCTCGGGATAACCAAGAAAGATACACTTTATAGACCTAGGGTATAATTTTCTCTCTCTTTGGTGAGCATAGGCTGCACACCCAAACACTCTTAGATTTGATGAATTTGGAGGTTTGTTAGTCCAACATTCCTCTGGTGTCTTTAAACCAATAGGTTTACAAGGACACTGATTAGTACATGAAAATGCACCCTAAATACTGCTTTTGATTTATATAATATTAAAATATTTAAGCTTTAATTAAACAATTCCATTATTTTTATTCATAATATTTTTAATTGAAATTTGTCTAGTTTTTGCTTAATTATTTACAGATGAAAGCAGTGTAAAAAGTTACACAAGAAGAAGCCATGAAAGTCATATTTTCAGCCCATCTGAGCCACACAAGCCGAGCCAATCAGAGAGGCCACGCCACCCATCAGCCAAGCCAAATGAAGTGGGTCCCGCGTGTTAGCGTGAAAATCCGCGCCCTTCCTCTCACTCCGTCTCGCGCCTCGCGCGTCACTAGCACGCGTTACCTCAGAGCGCGCGTTTCCTTGCACGCAACCATCACCGTACGTCTCATCTTCTCCCGCGTGGGTCCCACGCCTGGTCAGTGCCAGCCGACCACCCAATCTGTATGCGCCACTTGTCTCAACGGGACCCCAATGTCGACAAGCATTCTTCCTCTCTGACCAGTGCCAGCACACGCCAACCACTCTGAGTGCGACACGTGACGAGTTGATTCCTTCTTTCCAATTGCATTGCGACACGTGTCTTCTAGGTGCTGAGTCTGAGTTTCTCTTTCAAATCAGAGCAAATGGGTATATTTCTTCCCCAAATTATATATATGATTTCTCCTAATTTATGTGTAATTTTATTTTGTTTCTCTTTCTTTTGTAATTTTCTATTTTTATTATTTGTTTCCTTATTTGACAGGCAACCTCTGAACACTATAAATAAAAGGGTTAGCATAAGGTTTTAAGGAGCTTTTGACATTCAATTTTCTATTGTCTTACTGTCAGTCTCATATTTTCTCTCTAGAACTTGTGAGAATGTTTTGCAAGCTAGGCTAGAGTTTTCTTGGTGAGGTTAGAGATGAACTTTTGTGAGTGACCTAATTCAGGCTTTTGATTCCATGTGCTGTAAAGTTCAATATCTGAATGAATTAAATCTCATCTATTTTTCTTTTACTTTTCAAAATATTGTGTGCCAATTTTTATATAAGTCCAGTCACGCTTTTTTTATGTAATTCTGCCATGCACTATTCTGTTATTCAAATTATTTTACAAATTGTCTTTTACTGCAATATTGTCAAATTGATATATTGTCAATTTTGGATAACTTGTAATAATAATATTTTCGGAGTCAACATAGAGATTTAATTTATTTGATTCTTTTATTTTGTGAATCAAAACTTGAATTGGTGAACGAAACATTAAGGATTCTCGACACCTTACCGTTTTTATTATTAAATTTCTTCCACACAAATCTTCTCTCTTTTTTATTTGCAACAAAAATCTCAAAAACTCTCATTTTTCTTTAATTTACTTGTTATTTATTTTTCTCTAACGCTCTTATTCTATTAATCTTTCTTTTTATTTTGTTATCTCTCTGTTGATACGACCGCCCTTCTGTGCTACAATCGACCGCTTGTGAACATCACTTTTGAGCGCTAATCAGACACCTATTAATTAGATAACAGGCTATAGAAACAGCATCTCACCAAAAGTGTTTATTAAGTCCTGACATAATGAGCACGCACCTAACTCTTTCCATAAGAGTCCTATTCATCCTCTTAGCAATTCCATTTTACTAAGGGGTTTTTTTTACAGTTTATAACATCACTTTTGAGCGTTAATTAAATTTTAGTGCCGTTGCTGGGGAGGTGCTACTAACGAGATTGATCAGTAAATTTTTAAGCCAAAG